ACCGTCTGCTGCCCACAGGCTCACTGGAAAGGCTTCCAGGAACGCAAGCAGTATCTGAATGACCACAACGCTGAGGCAGTGAAGGTACCGGCCTCCTGGATCCATGGTGGCTGTGCTTCATGGAGAATCTGTTGAAATCCTTTATTATAATCATACTCGTATTAACGTGTGTATGCCCTTAATGGCTCAGATTACATGATAATGAAAATGGCAGTTGTCTGTGAAGTATTTCAAGTCTTTCAATGTCTTTTAGATCCAATCGATGGTGAGGATGCACCAAGCACGCAAGAAGTACAAGGACCGTCTGAAGTATTTCAAAGACCATGTGAGTAGCTATCGCTGCTGAGATCGATGATCTTGCTTGGCTACCCATTGCAGAGCCTTACGGCAGGAGGCAGAGCAGCTTCCGGGGGGGGGGGACTTTCGCCCTCCTTAGTTTGTGGAGGACGTAGAGGCGTGTTTGTGCCTCCCTCGTCAGTGATGTGGTGTTATTGGTCCAGGAGAGATCCTCAGAGATATGCAACCCCAGGAATTTGGTTGTTGTCACCCTCTCCACAGCAACTCCGTTCAACCATGATGCCTAAGATATCCCATTTATTACTCTGGAAAAAGTCTGCATTGCTTCTGTTGTGTAGCAGACCTACAGACTGCAGGGACTTTGCTTATTTTGGAGCCCCGTATATGACCAGCTGGTGTTTCTTTTGTCCAGATGAATGATATTGTGAAGATCCAGGCCTTCATCCGAGCCAACAAAGCTAGAGATGACTACAAAACTCTGAGTGAGTATTAGCACTGCGACGGCTTCAGTTAAGCTTCAGTAGGTCTATGATGAACATTGAATGAAATCTCCATTTTGCTTCTGTAAATTCTCATTTTTGGGACCTTTCATTGCTTTTGTATCGTCTTTGCTCTGTTTCATTGAGTCTCCTTGCACCTCCAGCTTGCAGGAATCCCACAGAATTCAACATGATGTTCTCTCTTTTCACAGTCAACGCTGAAAATCCTCCCATGGCTGTGGTGCGGAAGTTTGTCCACCTGCTGGATCACAGCGACCAGGACTTTCAGGAGGAGCTGGACCTAATGAGGATGAGAGAGGAGGTGATCACCAACATCCGCTCCAACCAGCAGCTGGAGAATGACCTCAACCTCATGGACATTAAAATTGGCCTTCTGGTCAAGAACAAGATTACCCTGCAAGAGGTAGTCTCTCACAGCACGAAGCTGACAAAGAAGAATAAGGGTGAACTCTCCAACCTAATGATGATGAACAAACACAAAGGTGGTCTTAAGGCCCTGAGTAAAGAGAAGAGAGACAAGCTAGAGGCCTACCAGAACCTCTTCTACCTGCTACAGGTAACCCTCTGCTTCTTGCATGGTTAAATTTCACCTGTATCCTCCATGTAACTTCTTGGAATAATTTCTAACAGTTTGTGTTGTACTGAAGAATTTACTTATCTCACCCTAGACGAATCCTACATACCTAGCCAAGCTGATCTTCCAGATGCCTCAGAACAAGTCCACTAAGTTCATGGACTCTGTGATTTTCACGCTCTACAACTATGCCTCCAACCAGCGTGAGGAGTACCTTCTGCTTAAACTGTTCAAGACTGCCCTGCAAGAGGAAATAAAGTAAGGCTTTGCAACATCCGTTGGGGATGCAAGGATTGTTATTTTAGGGTTTGGTTTTTATAAGTTATCTTTGAAAGCTTAACTCTGTTTGGGGGTGGTTGCACATCTAGGTTGCATGTGCAAGCACATTTTTGACAGGAGGCCCAGAAACAGTTGTTTTTCTGTGTGAAGGTCTAAAGTGGACCAGATTCAGGAAATTGTTACGGGAAACCCCACTGTAATCAAGATGGTGGTGAGCTTCAACAGAGGGGCACGGGGCCAGAATGCCCTTCGACAGATCCTGCAGCCAGTGGTGAAGGAAATCATGGATGACAAGACACTGAACATCAAGACCGACCCAGTAGACATCTACAAAAGCTGGGTGAATCAGATGGAGTCTCAGACTGGTGAGGCCAGGTAGGCATGTTGCCACTGTTGTATTATTTGGTTTGAAAAGGTGAGTAAAGAAGCAGGGTCTTTAGATATATGTTCCGGTAGACCTGTGACAGACACAACTGTAGGCTATTGCGCTTGATGTTTACACTTGATGAAGTTGGTATGTTCCTGTATGTCATTTCCCCTTTTCAAGTGGAAGTTGTACAGAATGACAGGCCTCTCAAGCACATCAGTCATGTCTGATGGACGAGTCACATGCAGTCAGCCAGATCAGAACACTTCAGCTATGCAGTGGTGCATACTGCTGACGTCTGTCTTTTGAAAGTATGAATGATATTGACTTATGATGGGATGTGCTCTGTCCCTTTGTTAGTAAGCTGCCGTATGACGTCACTCCAGAGCAGGCCATGAGCCACGAGGAGGTCCGAACCCGGCTGGAGGCCTCTATAAAGAACATGAGGACAGTCACAGACAAGTTCCTTTCTGCCATCATTGTTTCCGTTGACAGCATCCCGTGAGTTACCTCTCACTGGCCTCACTGCTTTTAACGTTTCCTCTCAAACTCGAAGGTGACGTTCATCCCGGGCGTTTTCTGGGTACCCCGCAGGTACGGGATGCGCTTCATTGCCAAGGTGCTGAAAGACACGCTGAATGAGAAGTTCCCGGATGCCACGGAGGATGAGCTTCTGAAGGTCGGTTCCCTCTCACCTTTACGACCAATCAGACATCTTCACCTACCCAGAGACCCAGAAGGGTGGGGGAGCCACCAGCTTTGCACTTATCCCTTCTGTCGTGATGCTGTAGGGTGGAAGCAAGTCACCATCTTCCTACCAAAGCATTATTTGGTCATGGGATTTCAGTGTCACGCGTGGTTATAATCCCTCAGTGCTGATGCCCTGTTTTTCCTGATTGCTTCCTGATCTCCTCTCAACTCGCAGCCACTTTCACTTGCTTGGTTCTGCCACCATGGCCTGAAGGGGTACACTTGAGCACTTGCCTGTCACTCCCATCTGCACTCTTGTGCTCTTGCACTCCTCTCTACTGAATGCACTCTCCCGTCTCTCTTTCCCTCTCTGCCTCTTCCACTCCCCTCTCTCTCCCGGGCTCCAGTTGTCCTCTCTGCCCTTGCCTCTGACCTTCTGTGGGGATGCTTGCTCCAAGGTCCCAGCACGACAAAGGTGAGCCACGCCCCCACTCTCTTCAATTTCCTCTTGCCCAAACATGGCTGTCACCACTCAATTGGTCAAGGGGTGGTGTATGTGCCACTTGTACATTGAATTGGAATTTTTACGCCATGAATGTGCATTTTAAAAGGCCACTAATCTCATATTTACCTGCCACAGCTCCTCCCCCACACCTATATTTTACAACTTAGTCAGGATGTGTTACATATTGAAATTCTACATTCCTAAAGGAAGTGTGAAACTGCAGGGCAGGGCATTCTCAAATAGATCTGTTAGAGTAAATGAGAAAACAAGTTCTACTATTGAGTTTTTATTGTAGAGAAATGGCTGACTTATTTTTGAGTGCTGACTCATGTAGCATGTCAGCTTGAGTCGCACAGTGATTTTAAAAACTTCTCCAGGCAGTTGTATTCAGGCTTGTGTGCAGGTTGGTTTCTAACAAATGCTCTGTTCAGTGAAACCAGTCATGCTGACTTATGACTCCTTTCTGGATGAGCTTTTAAATGTATTTCAGATTTGTTATTAGGGGCTGAGTTAGTAATATGGTCCCTGATTGTGTCATTACAGATTATAGGGAACCTTCTGTATTACCGCTACATGAATCCTGCTATCGTAGCCCCTGATGCCTTTGACATCATCGATATGTCAGCGGGTGGTCAGCTGACCACCGACCAGAGGCGCAACTTGGGCTCCATCGCCAAAATGCTGCAGCATGCAGCATCCAACAAGATGTTTCTGGGAGACAATGCCCACCTGAATCCCATAAATGAGTACCTGAGCAGCTCTTACCAGAAGTTCAGGTGAAGACTTCATCCTTCTGATAACCTGTAACCTGGGCTCCTCCTTAAGATGTCACCCTGCTCTTACATTCTGTGTTGCCACCTGCAGGCGTTACCTGCTTGCTGCCTGTGATGTCCCTTCCTTGGAGGACAAATTCAATGTGGACGAGTATTCTGACCTTGTTACCCTAACTAAGCCAGTCATCTACATATCCATTGGGGAGATTATCAACACACACACCGTAGGTGTCATTTGTCCAGTCTGTCACATATTTCTTCCAGGTGGCCATGAGCTCATGCTTATCTTTAACGGATCATTTTGGTCAACCCCTTGCAGCTTCTGCTGGACCATCAGGATGCCATTGCACCTGAACACAATGACCCCATCCATGAGCTACTTGAAGACCTAGGAGAAGTTCCCACCATTGAGTCGCTGATAGGTGAGCACAACACACACATCAGGGAGAGCTTGTTGAGAAGAAGGGCCCCTTTCTTCAGTGCTAACCTTTAAGGATTTCCGTCCAATAGGTGAAAGTCCATTGCCATCTGGGGACCCAAACAAAGAGACAATGGGCAAGACTGAGGTGTCCCTCACCCTCACAAACAAGTTTGATGTTCCCGGCGAAGAGAATGCGGAGATGAACGCCAAGACTCTCTTGCTAAAGTAAGGAATTTTACCCTCCGGTTAAAGTACTTGTTACTACCCTGTAACAAAGCATGTGGTAGGTCAGCATTTTTGATTTGGACTTGGTTTAGTGGTATAGCTTACTGTATTCAGGTATGGAATACAGTTTCTTGTGAATCCATTGCACATTTTTGACAGCACATTCTAACTACATTTTGATAATGGTTTACATTACCTGCCCCTTCATAATGCCTTAATAATACATTCGTAGAACATTCAATGCACCTTCATAAGCAGCAATTAAATATACCTTAACATCCTCACATACCTTAAGTTTCTTTTTTTTTTTATTTAAATTGCCCACCACCACCCCCCCTCTTCGGAGGACAACTTTATTTTACATTAAATTCAAGAGCAAAGAGTGTGGCTGCACATACCTTAACAGTTTCAATATACAGTGGTACCTTGGTTTACAAGCATAATTCGTTCCGGAAACATGCTTGTAATCCAAAGCACTCGTATATCAAAGCGAATTTTCCCATTAGAAATAATAGAAACTCATATGATCCGTTCCACAACTCAAAAATATTCATATAAAAATTATTAATACAAAATATAAAGTAAAAATACATAAAACAAATTAACCTGCGCTTTACCTTTGAAAAGATTCGTGGATGGTGTGAGGGAGACGAGAGAGGAGAAGAGGAGGGTTATTTTGTAGGACGACTTTCACTATAATTAACGGAATCACTGCTATATGTTGGCTCACTGGAATCTTTTTCCGTTTGTGCGACTTTAACAAGGAACCCATCCAATTACAGCCTCTTTTGCCTCCTTTTCGATTTTGCAAAAATGTGGACATTGCATTGTCTTTAAACAGATTCATCGCTCGCACTGCTACACCCTTATTCAGGTGGTGCTTTTCTACTAAATTTTGACTATACGAGTGAGGCATGCCGCCTGAGACGGAGCATGGGAGACGATTACCCACAATTCCGCAGCATGAGAAAGTGAATAACCATTAGTTCAGTTGTGATGACATGCGCTCGGTGTCAAAACAAGAAGCGCACGCATGCGCGTCCTGTTTTGAAGCCGAGCGCACGTAAAAACAAGAAAAACAAGGAGCGCATGTGTGCCATATGACTTTTGATGATACTTGGCACTCGTAAACCAGGACTTGCTTGATTTCCAAGCCAAAATTTATTAAAAATCTTTGCTCGTCTTGCGGAACACTCGTAAACCGCGTTACTCGTAATCCGAGGTTCCACTGTACATTAAGATCAAACATTATTTAATACACAATCATAAAATGTTATCAATGTATATTTAAGCTGTTAAGATATGTTAGGGTATTAAGGTATACTTAAATGCTGCTTATGAATGTTCTATGAATGCATTATTAAGGCATTATGAAGGGGCATTACCAAAATGTTGGCAAATTCTTCTGTCCAAAATGTGCAATGGATTCACAAGGAACTGCATTCCATACCTGAATACAGTACGCTATACCACTAAACAACCAAGTCCAAATCAAAAATGCTGACCTGCCACATGCTTTGTGTTTCTATGAATGCATTATGAAGGTGTAGTTATCATTTCTGGCATTCAGGTTCTAGTATTCTAGTTGCTCCATAGCCTTCCTTGTAAGTTTTAGCCATTGACTTATCCATGACCTGTTAAGTGACATGTCCTTGTATCCTACTGAGCATGACCTGCGCCCCATCACTTGTTCTGCTAACCGGGCAGTCGCCTCTCCTTTGCTCTTAGCACTAAACGGCTCATCGTGGACGTGATCCGGTTCCAGCCTGGCGAAACACTCACAGAGATCCTGGAGACCCCAGCCAGCCCGGAGCAGGTGAGCATGGCAGGAGGGGAAGCACTAGGGCTGATGAAGGGACGCGGAGCGTCGGTTTGCCTCTGATCATTTGGAACCCCCCCTCTCTCCACAGGAAATGGAATACCAGCGGGCCATGCAGCGGCGAGCCATCCGTGATGCCAAGACTCCTGAGAAGATGAAGAAATCCAAACCGGTGACTGACGACAGCCTCACGCTGCAGGGCAAGAAGGAGAAAATCCAAACTAACCTGCAGAAGCTCGGGGAGCTAGGCAAGGTTCACCCAGAAAACCGCTACCAGGACCTAATCAACGACATCGCAAAGGTGCGTAGGTCCTGAAACCAACATTTCTGGAAGTATACTGTGAACTCATTCATCCAGATTTTTTTTTGTCCTTAGTTCTGCAAGATGTCAGATTTATAGACCATATGTTAGGCCACTTCTTTGGGGAATATCAAGGTATTTGGTGTCTTGCCTATGGTGTGGCATTCAGTATTGTGGTGTGTTCCTTTGTAAGACCAGATCATTTGTAGCCTGTGATTAATGGCATTGTGGTTGTAAAAGGAGAATCATGTGGCTTTGAAGGGAGTATAACATAAAGTGAAATTATTTCGTTAGACTGGATTTTTATTCACTTTTAAATCCCGGAAGCCAAGGTTACACCCATGTGAATGTGGGTCCCCTGGTCTCAAGCCTTCGCTGAGAGAAACAGTCTTTGTTCTACTACTGGGAGTGGTTCTGAAGGTATAATTTGAGGTCTGACTCTGCTTAGGACATGTTGTGACGAGTCTTGTGTCATTATCACTTGGCACCCCTGCCTGTCAGTGGGCTCTCATGACAAATGGCCCACATTTCTTCTCAGTCTACTGTCCTTAAATAGTTTGTCGTGGCTTCAGAAGGAAAATGGTCATCCTCCGTGGCTTTCTTTGTGGTTTTTTTTTTTTTTTTTTAAATTATTTGCCGACTTTGCTCCTTTGCCTGTGTGTAGGATATCCGGAACCAGCGTCGTTACCGACAACGGAGAAAGGCAGAGCTGGTGAAACTGCAGCAGACTAACGCTGGCCTGAACTCGAAGACTAACTTCTACAATGTGCAGATTGACTATTATAATCAGTACATTAAGACCTGCATGGACAACCTGGCCAGCAAGGGCAAGTAAGTGTCCACCAAGGGTGCCGTAACTCCACTGCCCCTCTCCATGGGGTGCTGGGTTAACACCATAGGCAGTGTGTGGCTCGACGGGCAACGCCTCTGTGCCCGTGATCTGATGGTTGCTGGTTCGTGCCCCAGCCTCAGCAGATGTTCGTAGGCCCCTGAGCAAGGCTCTTAACCCACAGCTCAAGGGATGCTGCATGTTAGCTGACCCTGTGCTGTTACCTCCAAGCTTGCTGTTTCTGTGTGTCTCATGGAGAGCAAGACGGGGTAGGCGAAAAGGGAGCTTCCCCACAGGGATTAATAAAGTATCACAATTCTATTCCGTTACTCTCCCTGTGTCTTTGCAAGGGTGTCGAAGAAGCCTGGTGAGGCCAAAGCCAAGAAGAGTAAGCAGGTGTCACAGAAATACACCGCTGCGCGACTTCACGAGAAAGGGGTTCTGATTGAGATCGAGGACCTGCAGACGAACCAGTGAGCCGCTCGCCCTTCAATTCAGGGGCTGCGTATGTTGTTTTCTTGAAGGTTATTCTACAATTTTTATTTTTTCTTTCAGGTTTAAGAATGCTATCTTTGAGATCTCCCCAGCAGAGGAGGTGGGAATTTTCGAAGTAAAGGCCAAGTTCATGGGAGTCCATTTGGAGACATTAATGCTGGAGTATCAGGTACAGTGTCCAGTGCCTGCCGTCACGGTTTCTTTATCCTTTAAGCCAGTGTTTCCCAATCCATTTCTTGGGGGACCCACAGTCGGTGCATGTTTTTGCTCCCTCTGAACTCCCTGCCAGACAGTCCACATTTTTGATTCCTGGGAGGGAGCAAAAACGTGGACTGTCTGTGGGTCTCCGAGGACCGGATTGGGAAACACTGCTTTAAGCAAATCAGGCTTTCCATACGGCAGGGGCAGGCTGCTAAACGTGAACTTCATTCTGGCCAGGTATAGGTAAATATACTGCTTTGCACTTGAAAACATTTGACCGTTATAGTAACTCGTGTTTTCAAACAGTCATAGCTTTGCCAGCCTGATTTTACTACTTAAACAAGGGTGCGGCCTGGTTTTTGCCTACGCTCCTGTGTTTGATTTTGCCGACTCTCCCTCTCCTCCAGGACCTCCTGCAGCTGCAGTACGAAGGTGTGGCAGTAATGAAGCTCTTCGACCGAGCCACCATCAATGTCAACTTGCTCATTTTCCTGCTCAACAAGAAGTTTTATGGCAAATAAAGGAACAGAGACTGTGAGGGAAAGTAAACACTTAAAAAAAAATCATATATATGAGATCCACATGCATACTTAATACTTTTCCCCCTTAAGATGTGATTTTTTTTAATACTCTTTCTGGCAAGGAACCCCACCTCCACCCCACCCCACACACACACAGACAGACATACACACCAATTACTCTGCCTCCATTGTAAGGATGATGCACGTGGCTGCATTAGTGGAGAATCTGTTGCTTAGTTTTGCTTGCAGTCAATGCAGATTGTGCTTCAGCTCCCCTCCTAGAGAGTCAATGCGACGAGCTGTCATGTAGTTAGTCGCTGAATGGTTCCTCTCCTGCAGATGAGTTTACCAGTTTCTTGTGGTCTTTAAGTTGAGTCTGATCATGATCTAGTACCAACTGTATGATTGTATGTGGCCTTGGGGGTGGGTGGCACTGGGCATGCATATGGAAATAGGTTATACATGTGTCTCTTTAACATCGAACAAGCTCTGCTTGTGGCGTTGACTATGTTTATGGGTGACACTGTTCTTTTCTTTGTTGAATGAAATTACCCTTCTGTTTGTGGAATTTCTAAAAATGAAACACTGCTTTTGTTTTATGATTGGCCCTCCCCATTCTGACCCTGTCACCATTTCACTGTCTGAGGTTGTCACAGTGGGGAGGTCTCGCCTCTGAAACACAGCGCAAACTACAGCATCATTGCAACTGCAGTGTGGAAAGGAACTAGCAAAAGTGTAAAATGAAAGATTGTTTTGGCATTTGGTTTAACAGACTATTTAAATGGTTGATCCAGAATCTACATTTCATTTATGGGCAGTGAAGATTGAATCGAGGCAGATGTTTCTTCAAAGATATTGTTTTGCTTAACGTTACGTATTCCTAATTTTATAACAGGGTAGTTTGAACTTGCATGAACAGACGCCGGTATATTTGCTGCCATTAAAGGGACCCGCTCACAAGTAGCTGGATAAACACTGGACCGTGGCTGGATATGGAGGTCTGTCAGTTGTTATTCTGCAGGACGTTTGCAAAGAGGTCCCTTCCGACGTGTAAATCTTCTAATTCATCTCACAAGTCAAGCTAACTGAAAAGTTGCCGGCAACTAGTCGGGGCTGGGGGAATATTGTTTTATAATTTTGCTGTCTCCGCTTGAAGACCGTTCTCACTTGGTTGCCAAATGCACTTAGTGTTCTCCTTGATTCATGCTTGAAGAAATTAAATTTGCTTTAATAGGATGTATTTATTCTTAAACTTTTACGTGCGTTTGCGCTGTGTTTCAGCCTCTATACGCGGCATGTCTTGGTATAAATGTATTTTCAAAATAATGCTATAAATGTACCGAATAAAATATAGTACTGAAATGAAGAACGCCGCGGTTGCCTGTTTTACAGGGCTTGCCTGCATTGCATTCCACATGCCCAAAGAACATGAAAAGCGCCTATATCTGTACCTGTCGGGTTTATTAGGGGAGAGTCGTGTAATTTACGCATTTTTATCCCATCTGGTAATGACCCGTGTTTAAAGAATTACTATCGGAAAGTTTTATGTTCATACCTTGTTATGTAACTATAATCGCAGGTAGGCTAATTCACTTTTCGGAAAAGATGCAATGTATGAGTAAAGGCACTGGAGATGGTAGTTCTGCAGCCAAGCTTTTATCTGCCTGAATTTGCAAACCGTGTCCCCATCAGCACTGCTGGTAACAAAATGTAAAGCGTATTTTAAAGAACTGCATCCGATAATTTGCATGAACATGAACGCTGAAATGCAAATAGCATACTTCTGGTCCGTGTTGTACTGTGAACGAAGCCTGCAACATAAATGGCGGAAAACGACTGTTCTCTACCAGAAACAGTTCGGTTTCCATAAACTTTGACCGAAATTTTGACCGATAACCAATACATTTTTTTCTGATATAGCCCATGCCAATAAACTGCTAACCCCCGATTCACTTGCCGAATGACTGGGGGGGGAGGATTAGAGGAGTGGTGCTACATCGTTTTTTTTCTATGGGAAACTAAAGATTTATCTGCGGGCCAGCTTCAGTCTGGCGGTAACCTTCCCGCCTATATGTTTCCCAACCCAGTCCTCGGGAACCCCAGCAGTCCACGTTTTAGTTTCCTCTCAGCTCCCAGCCAATCAGGTACCAGGTATTCGGTGGAGAGCAAAAATGTGGACTGCCGGGGCTCCCCGGGGACTGGGTTGGGAAACACTGGGCTATAGGACCTATTCTAAGTTGCCATCCGTCCTATATTTTACGAGATTTTTCAGTACTGTACAATAATATAAATATAAATGAACATTAAAATGTTTTGAAGCAATACAGGATGCAATTTGTCTTGTGTTTTAGGACAGCTGTAACGACCCCCTAGCAACGCAAAATGTATCGTCTGGAACCCCCCACCCCCCGTAAAATTTTATTGTCGTTCTCCCCTATGGAAAATAGCGGATCGTTCAATTCGATCATTCTCATTATTTTAGTAGTTATGTCTTTAGCACTGGTGTTGCTAACTTTAAATATCGATAGGACTGACATATCACACCGATTGATTTCGAAACAAATATCGGACGATGCAACTATGTTAACAAAGCATTGGAAATATGTTAACAAATATGTTAACGTATAGTGTTAGACGTACCTGATCTGAGCAAAGCTGGAAGCAATACGTAGGAGAAACTTGATTTGATAAGACTGATGCCTTGTCCACACTTACACGGGTATATTTTAAAACGTACCTTTTTCTATACGTCTTGGGCTTTTGACCACACGTAAACGGCGTCTCAGGTCACTGAAAACGGAGCTTTTGCAAAACTCCATCCAGGGTGAAGATTTTAAGAAACTCCGTTTTCAGCGTCGACATGTAGACAGGGAAAACAGTGTTTTTGGCTCGAAACGTCAGATTGTTTGCCGTTGTCCACTTTGTTTAACGTCAGCGTGTGCTGTTTGCTGTATACATTAGGTAAGTTTGAGCAATGGCGGACTTAGCCGAAATAGTGCTTGTGCTAACCTTGCTGACAGGACTTCTTACAAGTGTACAGATAAATGTTGAGTCACTCGCATTATATTGATCAACACAGGCGTCGGAATGTGCGCCATGGTTTTCAACTTAACAGGACTGGCAATTTGGCTTCTGATAGGCTAACATGGCAGTACGGTTAGAGTTATAATGCCGCCTGTTGTTTTGGCATGCTTTTGACAGCACATTTTAGCGGTTTCATGTGTACGGAAATTTTTTAGAAGACAATGTTCGTGTGGATGGGGATTTTTTTTTTAAGCGGAGGAGGAAAAACACCGTTTTAAAAAATATCTGTGTACGTGTGGACAAGGCATGAGTCTAGCGCCCTCCGTGTTATAAAAATCTCTATCCAGTGGCGTTTCTAGATATTTTTTAAAAAATCAGGGGCGAAGTCAAGTTTACCTGGGGTTTGACTTTTTGTGAAGGAAGATAGGGGGTACAATATTCGGTGATATCGGACTTGACGACCGTCATGGGTGCTACCCACACTGACATTAGCTTCTATTTAAAAAAAAAAAAAAAAAAAGTAGGCTGGATGTTTTCGCGGTGGTTCAGTGTCCGTGAATTCTGTGGAATTTCCTTATTAAAACAAACGTGTTGTGTTGGTTATTTACAGTTGCCACTCTAGTTCTAATATCTATGTTTAGGCACCACCTCTTTACACTGTCCTGACTGGCTCTGTGCTGATGGGTGGGGAAACGATAACGGCTAGCAACGTAAGATGCTGCTTTTGATAAGACTTCAAAATGCAACCACCTTTGTGTCATAGTTAGAAGTTAAGCTTATTTTTAGAATTGCCAGCAGGTTGAGGAGAAATAAGATATGAATAAGTTCTCTCCCCCACACACACACACACACACTAAAAGCTCGGCAGATTTTATCTTCTTTATCCATCCCCCCCGCTATATGGTCTCTGACCTGACTAGTTTCCAGCTCCAAGCATAGATGATTATGTTCACCTGCCAATAACTTATTGCTGAATCTAACCCAATGGTCAACCGTGGAAGATACGTTAATTGGTTTCAGGCTGAAGGAAAAGCTGCTGAGACTTGAAATGTGTCATTTAACCGCATTCTCTGGAAATGTTTCCGGGCAGGTATGTGCTATAAGAGCCGTGGAGGAGCGAGTCCACCAACGATGTTGCTCATTTCAGATTTATTATCATCATTGAAAGAATAGATCTCAATATTAATAATGAACAAAAAAAACAATTAGTAATATCAAGCCATCGGATAGCATTTTACTGTAGATGTCGAGGCAAATTTATTTTACAAATCAAACACAAATGTCAGCCTGTAGTTATATGCTTTAAAGACTGGTATAAATGAATTATGTACTTGTCAGTTCATTTATCTAGCCTCATCAGACGAATAGTGTAACATATATAGAATCCATATAGCTTCAATATTTTATATGCTGTGGCAATAATAAAAAAAATACAGTAAAAGCAAAAATTCACTGTTGACATACTTTGGTTTTAGTCTGTAAATTGTGTAATGTTTATTAGCATACAGTAGTAACTCGATCCGGAGCTCATTATAGGGATGCTATGAAGTTTGACATATTAGGTTATTATTATTATTATTATTATTATTAATAATAATAATACATTTTATTTATAACGCACTTTACATTTTCAGAGAAAATCTCTAAGTGCTACAAAACCTCAACAATCTAAAAATGTAAAAAGCTATAAAGCGAAATATTAAGAATGATAAAATCTAAAAATGATGATAAAATCTAAAAATGATGATAAAATCTAAAAAGGAAGGTTTTAAGTCCTTTTTTAAAAACTATTGCACATATTGATAGACTGGTTCATATGATGAAATACCTTAGACCCATATATCAAAATGAAAAACAAAAGGAAATGTTTTAAACCTGAGCCTGCTGTCGCCGCAACGACAGAGATATCACTTTAAGAGAGCATCGCTTCCCTCTTGTGGACGCCGTGAGTTAAGAACTCGTCTCGTAGTTTCAGGAAAGCTGTCGTGTTTTTATGCATATATATACACATTTATAAATGGTGTTTTCACGATGACATTCACGATAAAGGAATTTCCGTCAACTAGCCAAGCCAGCGTGGAGGGTCAGCGCCTACAAATGTAGTGTTATTTACGGCGAGGTGTCGTCAGGAGCCGCACACCCCCTACGGGTCTGACAACGAGGCGAGCTGCGTGCATTTTATAATCGTAAAAATTAAAGTAAGATTGTCTTATCGCGCAGGAACGGATTTATTTATACGATCGCTCGACAGATTTTCAAATGTACTAGCGCGCCATTTCACTCGCTGTAGTATATGTTTGTGTTTTTTTTGCCGGCGACTTTTGTATTTAATTTTATTTTTTCGCTTTATACCTGCGTTTGTCATTGCACTTGTTGACTTTTCAAAATCTTCTGGGTTTGAATTTTTATGCGGCAGCTCTCGGTCGGATTTCCACTGGACCAATATTGTTTTTCGTATTTTTTTTAACCCAATAGAGTACCCCCCCCTCCCCATACTCCCCCGACCAGCCAGTGTTTTTAACAAATGGAGGACTATGCACCGCAGCACTTTATACTGTTTATTACAGTTTTTGTCGTCTTTAAAAATACAATGTAAGACATTAACTACGGTTGCCTGAGTTGAGTCCGCACAAGTGGGATTTTTCCAGCGCGGTACATAAATGTTTTTACGGGCATTTTCTTTTGCCATTTTGTACAATTTTTGATACGTCTGTGTTTTTTTTTTTTTTTTTTTTACAATAAAGTTTTTTTTTTTCTAGTTGGTACGCTTTACGCTTTACTTTTGGAGGAGAGAAACCTACGTGCATTATAACGCCATTCTTCTGAATTTCTGTTGCATCTGGGGACGAGGGAAGGAAGCGGAATGTATGTAGTTATTTTGTAGATGTTTCTGTTTTTTAATAGAGCTTGATCACTCACTCAGAACATGTCTAATGTCTAAATCTGCTGCGAGGGGGAGCCCCGAGTGTCGCTGACTTTCCCTGGAAGCACAGCGGAGGCGCGGTACGTCTGTTCTGGGGGCAGCGCCTGGGACTCTGACTCCGCGTCGACAGGCGACCGACCGAAATTACAGCCACCTGTACGGCCAGCGAACTTCTCACGGTCCGCTTTAGCCGCCAGCATTAGCCGGCCACTCGGACAACTCGTCGCAACACCTTTGGACGCTGACCTGATGATTTTGCTGCGCAAAATGGATTGCTTTTTTTGTACTTTTTTATAAATAAATTAATTTTTTTAAAGAGTAGACGCGTATTCCGGGCAAAGCGAACTTTTGAACCCCTCCGCGGCCCTCGCCATGTCCGGATCCCCGGGCTCGGCTGGGTCCAACCCACGGAAGTTCAGCGAGAAGATCGCCCTGCACAACCAAAAGCAGGCCGAGGAGACGCGGGCCTTCGAGCAGCTGATGACGGACCTGACTGTCTCCAGGGTGAGTTGATCCGCCGAGCTAATCCCGTAACGGGGGACCGGCGCCTGTTCTGTTTTAATAGGGGGCACTGATCGGGGCACCAGGCCCACTTTCTGTGCGTGGCCCCCCGCAGACACCCCCGCAGCCCCGCTCCGGCTCTCAAAGTGGGGCAGCTGTCATGCCCAAGTTGGGGCACCGCACTTCGCAACTTCGGCGAGTGTCACGCCACTTACAAACAGCTTTTATTTCTAAGGCTCTCACTCATGTCTTATATTAAAAGGCTTTTATACCTTATTTTAAAAATCCAATATTTAAATATGCATATATATAATAATGTGCATACGTACTGTGTAATTGTATATTTATGCGTCGTATATGGGCGTGTTGCAGCTGAGGAAACGTCTAATCTAAAAATCTATTTAAAAACAGTGTGGTTTTATTCGTAAAATCCTACCAACATAACTGTCATAACATATCCGCGTTTTAATGTTGTGCTGGCAAAGATACAATAGAAATCGGAGGAAGCTGCAATCTGCGTATTAGTGTATTAGTTTATACAAATTGTGAATAAGACTGAAAGTTTGTATTTTGTACTGGCAATATATGTCATAGTGAGTAAATTGTTAGGTTTGGTACGAATTAAAATATCATTGTATTCCAATACAATGGATTAACGATCTTCCATGCAGTATAGTGTATGTTACTCATTATGTTGTTACTTTAATGATTATGTTGTTACTTTAATGATTTAATGATAATGCAGTCATCTGATATTGTAAAGGGGAAGAATACTTTTGGATGGAAAGCCCTGAAGTAGTATTTTAATATAACCATGTGTAAACATTGCTTTAAATTTCAATGTGGCTTCGAAATTCTCTTTCCTAGTTATCAACAGCTTAATTACGGTTTCATAGCCACGTTGTTTCTTCTCACCTGCTGTTTGTTCACTTTTCTGAGGTTTATTAGTTCAGTGGCTTCTGATTCGTCGATTATTTTCTCCATTACTCAAAAATGTATTTTAGGCGAGCTCCTTCCGTTATTAGGGAATTTAAGTAGACCAGATGAATTTCAACAAGGCATTTAGTGGATGGATTTTCAGAACGGTTAAGATTTGTCTAGATTAGTATTGCTAATTGCCCTCATCTTCCCAGTGAAAAGCAATTACTTTATTATGTAGCCATAATAAGAGCTAGTCATAATTCGGAATCACACCCAATGAAATGCGAAATTCGGATGCTGAGCTTCAGCTAAAAACATTGTATATTTCTGTAACTGATAAGGTCTGTGTAGCTTCTGTCTGAGTCGGCTTATATGGGGAATCCTGAATGTGCACTGGATTATATCTCACTTCAGTGCTCTGCTGTGTAACATCAGTGTTTTTATAATCTTATAAAAGCTCTCAAGGTCTCCTGTTTCTCCTTTCTGATGGGCATGAGGTGTGTGTGTGTGTGTGTGTGTGTGTTAGCAAGGTTACTGCTGACTAATGTATGGCTTCTGCTCTGCCTTCATACTGTTCGTATGAGGTTTTCAAACTGGAGTCCTTCTTTTATTCTTTTTTTCTTCTCCTCTCCCACCCACGTCATCTGAACAAGTTGGGAAGAGGCGCTGGAGCTTACCGGACGTAGCTGGAGAGAGTGGCCTGGGTTGTTGTCTGTGAATTACCTGCCAAACTGGAAGTGACAGCTCACCGCTGGTCCCTCGCATGCAAAATTCGGGCTAGCCTTCGGATTTGGGGCTAACCGCGTGTGCGTGTATAAATAACAGGCCCTGCTGCTCTGCCAGACGACTAGTTTCTGCGATGTTTTGCATGTTAACTTGTTTGTTCGTATTTTCTTTTGGGGGGGCTGTCAGAGAGCCATGGTGCCACAAACTGCTTTTGCCATTTGGGTTATTAGAAGCAGATGTAGCTTTAAAAACGGCATCTTACTTCTTGGCTTCGTGCTGGAGGCCCTGCGTTCCAGAAGGATGTATCGCGGGAGTCGATCATTTGGCTGCTATCTGTGGTTGTGCATCATTTTATCAAGTTTTTCTAACATGGCTTGCATTGGAGATGGTCCCAGGGTATGATGGTAATTCGTTAGCAAATAAGAGGTAAGAGTTTAAAATGGTGTAAAAATGCTTTGCTTGTGTTTATCCCTGCTGTTTGTCTGGCTTTGCTCAGCTCGGTAAGTGTCCAGTCAGTCACTTCAGAGTGACGTTGGACGGTATTTATTAGAATTTTACTCCTGGCTCAAACAGCTATGTTAGGTATTCTAGTGAGTCATGAATTGCTTTTGTCCTCCAGGAAATAAATGGCCGATGTTAATCACCAAAGCCCTTTTACGACCGGAGTCTTCTGCTGGTTACCCTGGCAAACACAAAGTTCTGTGAACACTTGGTGCAAATACATGCAACGTTACATACATACATTCGATTAGTTGTCCAATTAAAGCTGTCAAAGCACTTATTAGGTTGCGTATAGCGAAATATTTAATGCACATTTCTATAAATATGAGAGTGCAGAGATTAAAATTAGAACAACCTTGGATAGAGTATAAGCGGCCATTGAGCTGCCTCTGGCATTGGGCACAATGTGGTTCTTTATGACTGTGCTTGTGGGCTGCTCTGTAAGAAAGACTTTATGGTTCAGGCTCTACTGAATGAAATTTCCCATATGGTGTGACCTGTCAGTGACCCCCCCCCCCAGGCACACAGCTTGTGGATTTAAGAGGAAGTCCTTCCTCTGGGCTAGTTTCAGGATATCACGCAAGCGGTACTTTCACGTACGGCCGAGGCTGTTTTTAATGGGAAGAATGACCAGGGATGTGAAGTTAGACAGATGTAGCTGAGTGAAAGACCAATGAAATGAACATCTCTGCTTTAGAAAAAGCTTGTTTTATAGTAATATAGTAAATGCTGTCTGCCTGATTTTACAAGGTTTATTTTCTTGTTTCTTTTGGGTTAGTGGATGCATTCACAGTTTTCTGACAAGCATTGATCCCTTTTTCAAAAGGCGCCCGGTTGGTGATGCTTTGTGAGGGTTTTAGTTGTGTGGGGGGCCCATTTTGTTCCACTTTTTAACTTTTGTAAGACTTGCCCTCCCAGCACCAGAAATGAGCCTTTGCTTGCATGTGAAGTGAGAAGGTGTTTCTTGAGGCCCCCACTGTTGTCTGTACCCTTGATTTCTTGTTCCCATGCCGGCTCTGAGCGCCAAGCCCAATCTGTGGCTGCAGGAGGTGGGACACCCTACAGTCGATCTCTGCTTTAGACCCGCATAACCAGGTTAAATCAGCAAAATCCTTGACAGACTTCGTGCATTTAAGTTGGCACCCCTTTTCTACAGCAATTATGTGTTTGTTTTTTTGTAGTAGTTTTTGTACCTAAGTTTTTAGTGCTTGGGTTTCCTGTAGACTTTGGTTTGGATGAGCTCAATCAAGATCAGTAGCATCCTGTTGAGAATTTATGACCATTGCCATCCGTGTGACCTTTTGTACTGACCCGTCGCATGAATGGGGAGTTGATCTGCTTAGCTGTTCTGTCTTCAGATGTGGTCTACGCCATGTCTGAAGGAGGAAGCGTTTTTAAAATCCCATATCCCCCTCAGGTGTGTGTCTGCTGAATGACACCGTCAACCATTAGCGAGCGGCACATACTGTGAGTCTTACTTTGGACTGCACTGTTACTGGCGGGTTTTCCCCTGTAGTTCATGGGAACAAGATCCTTTGCCAAGATCACCATAGCAATCCTTTCCCTTTGCCTTTTTTAAATTGGAAGGATGCCGGCCACTTGGGATTTGCAAGGATACAAATCGGAAAGGCTTGGAAAAATTTGAGAGCTTCCTGGCAGGTACAGCTTCTGTAATCCCACCCGCTGCATTCAGCAGGGCCTCGGCAGAGTCATGGGCTCAGCCCGGATCGTTTGGCAAGGCTGCTGGTCTCCAGTATAGTGCCCCCACACATTCTAGCCTGTCTTTCCATTATCAGGAACCTTGGTGAGCAGTTCATCTTGACTCGAGTGAGTACACCTGTAAATGGGAATGCTTTGCCAAAAATACTGGGCGGTGGAGCTTGAGGCGGCATGGGCCCGATGGGCAGCTCTGTGGGAAAGCCAGGTCGTGAGAGGTTGACCCATGAAAGGGATGGGTGGAGCTTTGGTCCATATCAGGTGGCCCTCTGGCCCATATCCATCAGAAAGGGAGACGGTGTTGAGTAACCGGAGACAGGAAGGTTTTAGAAACGGAAATGCTCTTTTTGTTTTATAACCACTGTGCCGTACAGTCAAGACTCTGAATCTCGCTGTTGAGGTGTTGGGATTTATGTCTGCTGCGTGAAGGCTGTTCACCTTTCAGCATATTTGGTTTGGCAGAGCTGTGTATCAGCGTCTGTGGCTTATATGATAATCAAGACAAATGCTTATCAAGAGGAAAAAGAAACCCAGAGGTGATGTTTTTCAACAGAACTTTTATACAATAGCCCTGCAGCTGGGAAATGTTTTTTTTTTCCCCCATCTCTTTAAACCTGCCAAGAGATCTGGATGAGGACAGACTTTGAGATTCAAATTGTTTTTCTTTGGGCGTTGGGAGAAGGTACTGCCTCTCAGATTTGCCTGTTCCTGAGGCGAGCTGATTGTCGATATGATTTCCGAGGATGGACTGTCTGCCGACGGGCCCTTGACAAGGATTGGAGCGGGTCGAGTGCTTTTGGGGCTGAAGTCCAAAATGAATGTCTTTGTGATCCTCCGAATGCACCCTCAAGCCATAAATAACCCGTCTCTCTGTCCCGATTGTTACAAAAATATCAAATCTTTTCCCAGGGTTCTAGCTAGCACCCCCCCACCCCCAGCTGGTCTCATTCCCTTAGTCTCCCAGTTACTCACTGATAGCTGTTCCACGTTGGGCATTCCCAGTACCACGGCTTGCCCATAAACACTTTAGTATAACGAATCAAACCATTTGATTTTAACGTTCATTACCTAACATCAATCACAGTTGGCTTTTCCATTGTATAAAATGTGATATTAACTGTAAATGGTCAAATGAAATGTGGATGTATGTTGGATGTTAGGCTGAGGGTGAGAACTCCCCCTAAACCTAAATTCTGCCCCTGACTTCCCTCCCAATAGGTGCAGTTCCAGAAAATCCAGCAGCTTCGCCTCTCTCAGACTCGCGCACAGTACTATGGCGGCTCGCTGCCCAACGTCAATCAGATCGGCACCGTCAACACGGACTTCCAGGTGAGCCAGGCTCTTCGTGGGCTTGGACCAGTAAGGGATGCTGGTTCCCAGGCCGTCCAGGCCATGCTGACTGAGATGGAGACTGTTATTTCATACTTACTAATAATCCCCTTCTGTTTAACAAGTGGTCACCTTTCAAATAGCTTTTGCTGCTGAATAGAACAGATATCCTATATCTGCTGATGCCATGTAAATGCATTTATTTTTTATTAAGGATGCACATTCCCTGCTGTCTGCTGATGGTGCTTGATATCTAATTGACAGATGAAAAGATGTTTCATGATCTATTTAAGTATACTATTTAGTATTTTGTGTTCATGGTTGTTGTCTGTATATAGTACTTTTTATCACTAATTTTAACAACACCGATAACCAACATCATTGCTAATTGTGAATATAAAGTGAAATTACTTTATCTCGTTCACCGACGTCCATTTGAAACTGTTCACTGATATGTAAAGACAGATCTCTGTTTGTTGTACCAAGGGTGTCTCATTACGTTGGTTTAGGTTTATTTTCTAAAGCAGTCTCCGACAATGTGTTGTTTTTTTTTTTTTTTAAAAAAAGCCCTGAAAAATATTTTTGGTAACGTGTGTTCTTCGTCGGACAGCGACGATATGCTTCACAGATGCGGGTCAGCGGCGTTTTGGGTTTTTCGGCTCCCGTATGATGACTTTGTGAAACTGCGACCCTGTGTGTGATATGAATGACGTGTTAAAATCAGGATCAGCGAGGAACCTCCTTTGGGAAGGTGGGAGCAGCCCCTGCTGCTGAGCCGCTCCATCAAAGGGGGCTTGACGTGAGATCTTAGCTCACACTGCTGTCAACCTTCAGACAAAAGTTAACAGTTCGCCCTCGGGTATGAATTTGATAGCCTCAGCTAGTGTGCGCCCATGACGACAGGGCTTGCCTCGCTTGGCTGCCCGCTGGACATGGTCCTGGTGTGTAAACTGAAAGTGCTTTTGATGAAAGGCCTAATGGATAATAGCTCTTTGAGGAAGAGCAGCCCAGCGATCCTCGAAAGATGATAGCTGGCAGGGTCCGAATGGAGTAGTGGTGTGGCTCACCGTAGGACCCATTCGTAGCTCCGCCTTGCTCAGTTACGCTTAATATCTTGAGACAATGGCCCTGTTCTTGCTGTTTCTGAGCACTGTGTTCTGTCTTGCCCCATTAAATCAAAAAAAGGAAGAGGGGAACGATATGGTGTAGGTGAAACTGAATGATGTGGGCGGAGTCAGTGGCCTGAGTGACAAGTTGTGGGCCTGACTGGATGCTTTTTCTCTGTCTGTCTCTCTCTCTCTCTCTCTCTCTCCCTCCCTCCCCCCCCCCCCCCCCACAAATCCCATTCCCAGGGCACGTTCCCCACGAGCCCGGACGTTGTGCGGGGTACCCGGCACCATGGCCTCGTGGAGAGGGTCCACCGAGAGCGCAGCCGTGTGAACTCGCCTCACCGCCGGCCCATGGACAAGCACGGACGGCAGATATCCTTTCAGGCCGCGGGTCACGGGCGACTCCGATCTCGCCTCCATCCTACAGGCCGATGGGGTCTCCGTGTCTGCTGCACCCCCCCTGCGGGTTCATTACAGCCCATTGTCCCAGAGGTGTAATTTCTGAAGATGGTCTCCATGGGAAAATGATCAGGATGTTCTTTTTTTATAGTCTTGTCTGAGAGAAGTGGGTTTTGAAATGATATTCACCTACTCAGTACCCATAACATGTTTACATAAAAATCTTAAAGGGAGTCATCCTGTCTCGGGAAGGCTGAGAGCGAGGTTGAGTTAGCCTGGGCTAACAGGCTAGCATTTTCACAGCACATGTCAACCTCTGTTTTCCTTTTTACATCGTCCTGCTGTGAGAGTTATGATTTCACTGCTGAAGGACTGACCACGGGCAGGTCGGAAATGTCAGCTGCTCTCTGAGCTCCCGGGGCATTTCACTGCGTGTTTTTACAGGAACCCCAACTAAGAGGCCAAACCCTTTGGGCGGGACCTCGACACCCGTGGCCCCGCCCATCTGGGGGATGACCTATCTGGTGCCGTAGATTTCAGCATGTGGGATGCTCTTAGGGTTACATAAGGAGGACGGTATACCTGAGTATGAAAAGCCAGCAGGACTGGGGGTCCGGCGGGCGGACGCACGTGGGCGGCTCAGGGGTTGAGTGTCCTTCCTCTCTCTCTGTGTAGGACAGTGATCCTGTAATCTGCACTCAATGTGGCGCGTGGGGCTTCGAGGGGAAGTGGTTGGATTGAGAATGTCAGGCTGGCATTGGCTGAGGCCATGTCCTGAAATAATCTGCGGTTTGTTTAATATTGTTTGTTGTGGTTTGGGATGTGGTTCCCTTGTTACTCATCTTGTAGATGATTGTTCATTGTTTCCTCTTTTTGGTTATATGTCAGGGCTGACCTTCCTCATTCCTGCCTCTGAGCCAATGGTATGGCTCATGGCAGAGTTGGGGCCGAGGGGGTTTTCCCTTTGCAAGCACGAGGCTCTCTGGCGGGGGTGTGAATTCAGCCCGGCCTGCAGCCGCTCGCTCCAGCGGGGAGAGGGAGGCTTCATGGTAGCATCAGGCTGCAATCTGATTTGGCCTCAATGTCTTAAGACCCAGATGCCGCTAATGGCCCTGGCTTGTCCTTACGGAAACTGAGGCAGGCGTGCGAGGCGAGGGGAGGCCTGACAGCTGGCCTCTGTGGCCGTCTCCGGCGTGGCGGTGAGACGACAGTGTTCCCCCCCCCCCCCCCGTTAGCCGCCCAAGGCTTCTTAAAACCAAGGACGTCTCCTCGCCTAATCCAGGACCTCTGCTTTATCTGTGAGAATCCAGGTGTCATCATGTCTGTCAGCGGTGTAAGCTAAGCATCTTTGCGCGTGTGAGCGTGCCTGCCTCTGTGTGACTCTTTGTATGCTTCGGGCATTTCTCCATGCGTGTGTCTGTTGTTCCCCCTCCTTCCCATTTGCTGTCAAAAACAAGTACATTTTTTGCAAGCACTACAGAAATTCCCTTTTCAGGCTGTTGTAAAAAGAGCTGTTCAAAGAGTGCTTTGAAAAATCAAGTTTTTTTTTTTTTTTTTCCTTTTTTTTTTAAATGCACATCCACGCTTTTCCCCTGGCCGCTCGTCCAGTCTCCCGATGAACAGTAACCGTCGAGTCTCCTTGCAGCTTCGGCCCAAATGACTTCATTTTCCGAGACCCAACAGACGTTTAACGGTGAAAGTGCCAGACATTTTTCCGCCCTCCCTGTCTCTCCGGAGTCTTTTACATAATGTGAGGAACTAAACTTGGATACTTGTGAGTGGTTGATTGTGAGCCATTGTCTTGTCGACCTTTGATCGGAGCTCAGTTATTGTTCGATGAATGTGTTTGGCCGCCACCGTCAGATTTACAAGCTGAACTTTTTCCCGCTTCTAGTCATTCGTGCCTCGCAGTTTTTCTGTAAGGTTCTGTGATTTAGCCCAAAATGTGCTGCATTTTACAGTGTTATAACCCCCAGACCAAAAATGGCTGAAATATCGTAATATAAAAATACATCGCAGACAAACATAATCATAAGAAAGTTCAGGAAACTCATTTTCTTGATCACTGGAAATGCAGGATTTATTTAAGAAAAGCAAATTACGTTTTCGTTAATCATAACAACTTCATCTGACTGTGTTTCTATACGTGTTCTAATATGGAGCTTAACAGTAGCTTGCTTACTTCTGAGGTCTGATTGGACACAGTTGTCATACCTTGCACTAAGTTTTGTCCTGGTAGTAATCCATCACTATGTGACGGCCAATTGAATTCTCCAGCTGCCTTAAATAGCAAAAGATATTGACTCATTGGGAGATTAACATGCATGGTCGGCTTAGTTGGCAGTCGGTTAGTTCTTCAGTTAGGTGTTGATGTGAAAGAGAATGGAATGAAGTCATGGCTGGTCTTAGTAGCTTAAAAGCTATTTAGCATTGTTTGCTGTGTGTTAATGTTACATGGTAATTAAATGGATTAACGTAACATATAACTGAAGGGTCTGAATTCAACCCACAGAGCTTTTGATCGCATGTGGGTAGCATTAATGGGCGGAGTCACGGCTCCCAGGTCCAGGCTTCGACTGAAGTCCTTTCCTTAACCGTGTGACGTGGAGAGCTCCCCCTATGGAAATGCCTACCTGTCTCCTCCCCCGGACAACAGCTGGCGAAGGTGAGTTATCGCCCAACCCGCTCGAGCTCCGAGATGGGCACAGTGGGTGGGTATTCTGGGAAATTCGGCAGAGGGTGTCCGGGAGGGCAAAGATAACACGGCACCCCCGGGCGGTTATGGGAAGCAGTAGGATCCTGTTATGCCTACGGTCACGCTCTGGAACGTGCCCCCTTGGGAGCCTCGCGCCCCCCCCCCAGGCTCGGAGGGCTTTGTGACCTCTATGAAGGTGGCATGGTTGACGAGTAAGTTGCAGGATGATTTCATCGGCATGTGCTCCCCATACAAATAGGACGCCGTGGACTCCAGGTGTCTCTGAGCCGTACAGCTACAGGGGGGATGGAAATCATTTGACTGCACCTGCTCAAGCATTTTTTGAAGGAGCCCTTTTGTTTTTATAAGGGACAGACCTGAACAACCAGTAATGAGCTCCCCCCCGTACAGGCCAGTTTGGGGGCAGGGAGGGCGTGCAGAGGCGCCGTGTTTACATGTGACTCGCTTACGGAGCGGACGTGCTCTTTGCCGCCATTCAATGCTGCCAAGCTCAGGTCCAGGTGTGATGTCTGTTTTTACTTCATTTAAACAGCAAGTCTTCCAGCCATGAATATTAAGAATTATGTCTCAGAATGTAATCTATTGCTGGTAGATTTTTGGACTACTTGGTCACAAACTTGTCAGAACCTTCCAGAAATGTCTCCCAGCCTCACAGAGGGGGACGGACCGGCTCCCTGCTAATGGCGCCGCTTTGGGCGGTCGGCGTGTGCGTGAACCCCAGGCCCTCGCTCTTCCGCCTCCTAGCAGTCAGAGATTCTTCTGTTTCTCTCTCGGACGCCTTCCTGCAGAACAAAGACCTTTTTTTTTGCCTTTTGTATGATCACAGATTTCAGTCCAGATTGTCTTATGATCTCTAGGCTGGGTTGAACATTGTGATATTGGCGAAATTATTTATTATTTTTATGGATGTATGTTAGTCCTGCCTAGACTTCATAGACCTCTGTAAATATTTTGTATGAATCGTGTACCTTTATTCTCTCTGGGTCTTGACCTGCCAGCGGTCCTGGTGAATCCCAATACTAACCAGGCGTCTTCCTCTCTGATTTTTAACCTGCTCTTTTCTGAGAACCACAGCACTCTATGCAGACGCTCCCCCCCCCCCCCCTTGTGTGGTACTAACACCCCTTTGCACCTTCACCGGTCAGGTGTCCCAGAACAGACTGTGCTCACAGCTTGAGCCAGGCTCCTGGACCAAAGCAGGCCGCTCAGGAGTGCCGGGGTCCGTCTGGAATGGAGACGTGCTTAGCATCTGCTTGCTTGGCTTCTATCCAGCCTGCTGCATGGGGACCTTTCCCTGTCGTTTCCCTCTCCGTGTGTCTGCATCCGCTGGAGACTCTCGCCCTCGCGATATCTCTCCCGCGGAAACGCCGGGGGCAGTTTGCTGAAATGTCACCAGAGCAGATCCTAGCCGGGTTTGCTTGCATGTGGCTCATCTTAAAGGGTTTATCGCCATCATAGTATTGGCTGCGGTTTGGTTGCTGTCCGTGTAGCTAAAGGTAGAGGAGGTGTTTTGTTGGTGTGTGTGCATGGCTGCGCATGTGTGTGTGCGCAGAGCCCTGTGCTGCTGCGTGAGATTTCTGCTGCTGCACAGACCGTCCAGACCCTGCCGAAAATTTAATTTGGTTTTATTATAATGATGTGGGGTGGCCCTGACCCCTAGAGCCCAGGTGCCCCCTGGACGCCCCCATCACCGCAGCGCAGGGGGCCGACCCGTGTCCGAGGCACCTGTGTCTCAGTGAAATGCGGCCCTTTTGATAGAACGCAGCGTCCGTCAGCCAGCGCTGTCAGATTCTCCCACATCCTTGTTTTTGGAGCAGCGTGTCCCGGTTTGGGGGAGTCCATACAGCCCCTGCTGGGACTGTGTGTTTTTGTCGCTTCTTCCCACAGGGCCTACACCCCCCGCCCCGGTGACTGGGTGGACCGGCCCGCCCAGGGTCCAGGGGCCTGTCCCTGTGGAGTGCAGCTGGGCCTGATTGGCAGCCTGGGGTCAGCACCGGTCTCGCGGTCCCACGCTCCCCTCCCCTCCCCGCCGCGCCACATCACGTGACCCCCCCCCCCCAGCCGCAGATAGCCCTTCCCCTGCGCTGGGCCCAGACATCAGCTAGCTGTCCTGTGTTTTTGTCCTTGCGGGTTAGGGTTAGGGTTTCTCTCGCGGGCTGCCTGTACGCCAGCATGGACTGGAGTGCGATCTGAACAGTGAGAATGAAGCAGCCTCCCATGTGGGGTGGACGGGGCCTCCAGAATATCAAAGCTGCTGTAGGTCGCGAAAGGCCGGAATCGTGTGAGAGGTCTGCCTTTCATGCCTGTGGACTCGGGTGGGGGGGCCCCATGCCCCCATCTCTTTGACCGTATTCAGTGCAAGGGGCGTGCCTTTTTCGGAATATACTTAGTCATTTTAAGTTTCTCCAACACGTGTTGCTTGTTGCGTGCTGGAACGTTCTGGAGTTTTGTTCACAGTAAAGCTGCTGTCAGATTGGCTCATGCGCCAGCTGCTCTGCGTCCTCAGGTTAACCTGGGTCTCAGGGTTTGCATTTCTGTGCCCTTCTGCCCTCGCCATCCAGTGCCCCAGCCTCCTGTTCTGTCACTCCTCTCCTGAGTCCCTTTCAGCCTGCCCTCTCAGCTCTGCTCCTCTACTAACCCCCACCAGGGCGGCGCCGTGGTCCACTCGTGGTTTTAAACTGTGGTGTTTCCATTTCTAAAGGGATCAGCAGCCCTGGAGCGAAGAGAAACGGCATGGATTTAGATTAATGTCGCAGCTCAACAGGTGACCTCTGACCCCAACCTACGAACGGGTCCCTCCTCCGTTTCTCTCTCTCCATTTGATGCTCCTTTCATTCTGCACTCTTTCCTCATCATTTTGGTTTGTTGTTCTCAGTGCTGGAGTCTCCTTATGACTGAAACAATCATTCACATGACCAGGTTAAGGTCACATGACACAGGGGTATGGCGCTCAGCCTCATGTCCTGCTCAGTTCTCTGATGGCGGATGAGATGCCCTTTCACCTCCCGCAGCAGGTGGAATTGCCCAGCTGCATTAACGTTGAACAGATGCCTGTGACACACCTCCCTCTGTCGCTGGGGGGCTTGTGGTGTGATATGGCTGAGCAGTATAGACACAGCTCTCCGACACACGGCCCCCCATGGGGTCTCTGTGATGCCTGCATGCCGCCTTCCACTCACCGCCACCCCCCCCCCTCCCTTCCCCCACAGGACAAACTCGGACTCCGCCCTACACACGAGCGCCATGAACCCCAACCCTCAGGACCCGTTTGGGCAGGAGCAGCAGTTGTGCCGGGTGCCTCCCCAGCGTAACGGTGAGTGTAGGGGGGGGGCGCTGGCCTTCAGCGGGACCTTGGCTGCGTGCCCCTTTTGCCGCCACGCCCCCAGCTGTTTTCACCTTGCATTGCATCGTTGGACGCGAGTTCACTTCACTGTCGAGGAAGGAGTTCAGATGGAGGCTTTGTAACGGATTGTGGCTGTTTGTTTAGCCAACAAGCTTAAACAGGATATTGAGTGAAGATCCTGGCGAGGCCTTAGTGCACATTGTCAGCATGTTTTTTTGGGGGGGGGGGGTCTGTATAGCAGAGGGGTCCCCCTCATGCTCTCTGGGTCAGTACCCCGGCCGCGACGGGCGACTCATTGGACCCTCAGTATGGCGTCTTCTCCCAGCATCCTGCCCCTAATTCGCCTCTCCACAGGATTACATAGCGCCACCAGCCTTCTGTGTCGCAGGCGTGTCCTCCCCCAGGGTAGTGGGCCTAGCCAAAGGGGGGGGGGCACTGGCAGCGAGCCGTGCGTGTGGGAGGGCAGCGGGCAGGAACAGAATGGAGGCCTGTTTTCCTGGGCGGGAAACAAAGCCGTGCTCACTGTCCCTCTCTCTCTCTCTCTCTCTCTCACTCCCCCCCCTTCTCCCTCTTTCTCCCTCTCTCTCTCCAGCTCACTCCCTCCCTCCCTCTCTTTCTAGCTCACTCCCTCCATCCCTCTCTCTTTTTCTCTCCCTCCCCCTCAGGCTCTCTCCCTCTCTCTGTTTCACTTTCTCTCTCTCTCTCTCTCTCTCTCTCTCCGGCTCACTCCCTCCGTCCCCGTCTCTGTTTATCCCTCTCCTGCCTTCTGTTCTCTCTGACAGCCGGCTCAGAGCGGCAGGGCCCCACACACACACACACACACACACACACACACACACACACACACACACACAAACATGCACACATATCCGGTCTGACCAGTTTCAGGCCGCTGGGGCACGCTGCTCCGGTGCTCGCGTGTGCCAGCATAGTGGCGATTCCTGCTCCTCCTTTATTATTTCTTTGTTATGTGGCGCCTCTAACGTCATCGATAAGACTGACGTCAAAACCGGCATTGGGGGGGGGGGGGGGTCACATGGTCCCGTTCACATTGAGTATGAAGCCTTAGGGGTCATGAACGACCTCTGGTCACAGTAGCAGTATTCTGATGATGTTCTCTCTCTCTCTTCCTCTCCCTCTCTCCCCTCGGCGGGGCTGGGGCCACAGCTAGCATGAACGAGGCAGATGCGGACGGCCCCCGGGACGGTGAGTGACCTCCTGTCACCCCAGTGCAATGCGGACGGACCCGTTCCTGCCGGTGAATGGCAGGCCGTGGCGGTGTCACTACGCCAGACGGGCTGCCCACCGTGCCCAGCCACACGTGTCTCTCGGCGACATTCCGCAGCACGGCTGTGGCGTGGCGTGCCGGCACGCCTTGTTTCCATATGCGTGTGTGTGCGTGTGTCCCGCCCTCCGACTGACACCCACGCCTACCTGCTTGCGTATGTGTGTGCGTGGGCTGCGTGGTGATAATTCCTTGTGTTTAGCTGTGTTGACGCTCCTGCGTCGTTAGGCGTGTGTGTTTATCGCCTGGGGTTCAAAGGGCCCTCTCTCTCCCGCCGGCTTTCCCGCGATCTCTGGGGAAAGGTCACCTATCTGTCACACTCACTCTCTCCTGGGCAGAGGCGCCCCCGATGGTTAGGTGACAGCCGGCTCTTCTCTCACCCCTGCAGTTTTCTCCTTCCCTGCCTTGGCGAGTGAGGAAGGCCTCCGCGGAGTCAGCAAACCCCTGCCCAAGCAACTGTGGGAGGCCAAGAAGGTGGGTGTGTCATCCAGGCCTGTTTACATCACCTGACCCACATGCTCATCTCTGCACAGTGGCAGCCAATGAAAATATGCCTTGAGGTCCCCGCCGACTGGGAATTTCCGCTCCCAAGCACGGGGCGGAGCTACCGTGGACTGAGTCTATCCCCTGTCCTTTCCGTTCCAGGTTCAGTCCCTGTCTTCTCGGCCCAAATCCTGTGAAGTGCCTGGAATCAGGTGAGTGCTGGCGGATAGACCGGCGCGGTAACCAGCTTCGTGACCTTAGGCACGCTCTGATTGGCCCTGGCTGCATGACTTGAGACGTGCTCTGATTGGCCCTTCTGACTGACACGCCTATCTCAGGTTCTTTCTGTGGAATGCTGCTCTTAGGAATTGGCCTGTATGTGTCTGTCCTCCTGATCCCTTAAACATGCTTTTGCCCCCCCCAGCATTTTCCCATCTCCGGAGCAGAGCATGGGGCTCTCCCACTACCAGGGGACGCTGAACACGGGGGGGTCGCTGCCAGACCTCAGCAACCTGCACTTCCCCTCCCCCTTGCCCACCCCCCTGGACCCCGAGGATGGCAGGTACCCCTCTCTGAGTGGGGGCAGCAGCACGGGCAACCTGCCGGCAGCCATGATGCACCTGGGCATCGGCAACTCGCAGGGTAGGTGGCCGGGCGGGCAGTCGCTGTGGTAACACTGGGATTATCCCAGTGCACAGTGGTGCTCTGATGTGGGGAACATCACCCTCCTTCGGAGGATGACACTGACACATTCATTCTTTCTTTCTGTACGTCTGTCTATTACATTTTGGGGACCAAATGATCCCACAAAATGATAAAAACCTGTTATTTTGACGTTGTGGGACCATTTTTCCGGTATAACCTCAAGTTTATAAAAACTGCAATCAAAAATCTGAAAATGCCAAAAGTCTTGTATTTTGTTTGGTTACTTATGGTTAAGGTTCGGGCTGGGTGGGGGTTAGGGGTGTCATTGTTGGGATTATGGTTTTTTCCATCGGAATGAATAGACAGTCCCCACAAAGATATGAGTACAGGTGTGTGTGTGTGTGTGTGTGTGTGTGTGTGTGTCTGTCTGTCTGTCTGTCTGTCTGTCTGTCTGTCTGTCTGTCTGTCTGTCAGCCCTGCATTCAGTCTCTCTCCCTTCATCCCCCCCCCCCCACCCACCCATGCTGCAGGTCTCTCGTCCTCCCTGAGTAATCCCTCCATCCACTCGTCCCTGCGGCTCTCCTCGCTCTCCGCCTCCCCCCCGGGGGCCCTGAACAGTTCGCCTCGGCGCCGGCCAGCCCCCATCAGCCCCCTCACTCTGTCCCCCGGCTCGGAGCCGCGCCGGAGCCTGGGCAAGCCGCTGTCCCCCACCATGTCCCCGTCCCTGTCCCCCATCACCCAAGTGAGCCCCCGCGGCGTCCGTCCGTCGCCATGCCCATTCTCCGTTTGCGCGAAAGCAGGAGCCCCGCGTCGTTACTAAGGCCGCCGTCTGTCTTATCGCCGTCTCCAGGGGGTTGCCTTGGACACCAGCAGGCTGCCGATGGAGCCACCCCCCCCCTACCCCATGTACAAACAGTCCCACCCAGCGGTGCAGCAGAGCTCACAACGCACCCCCCAGGCCATGTCGCCGCTCTCCAGCCTCCCGCTGGACTTCAACACCAACAGCGTAAGTTCCGTGCCCCTGAAAAGGCCGCAGCAGTCAGGTGGAGACAGTGATGGCCTCCAGGCGGTGCCTCTTGTATAGTAATGCGGGAACCGAGACGTACCGAAAAGAGAAACTACTTACAAGGAGGCTCCGGCGTGATTCCATCTCGCTTCACTTTTTCATTCAGCTTAGTAAAGGCGTTGCCAGCTTTGGAGACTGACAGTGACGTAAAACCGAAGAGACGCTTATTTACTATTCACACAGTGTACATCCCTATTATTCAAGTCACGGTCCTCGAGGTCCCAGCACTGCTGGTTTTCCCGCCTTCCTTTACCTGTGAGCCAGGTGTGAAGCCTCTGACCAATCGGAATCAGTAATTATTAAACTAACTACCTGGGAGAACTGAAAACAAGGCCTGGATTTGGAATCGAGGTCCAAATTTGAAGAACCGTGGTGTACGTCAGATTTACTATGTGCTAATGTCCAGTCTCTGAGAATCGCTGTTTTATGTTAGCATGGAATGCTAGCGAAATTAGCATTAGCTTGTCGAAATTTGCATTACGAATGTATTCCGTTCAGCTGTTCTATGGTGCTTGGAAATTTTCAAGTTCCAAATTATTGGGAATGCATTACTATGTCACGATGAATGATATACAGAATATATTCTGGGTGGCAGTGGAAACGCGCCAATAGAGACCGTGAACTGGCCCGGTTTGACCCTCGCCGGTCACTGCATTGCGCTCCACATGGCGGCACGTTTAACCCGGAGCTCTGCTCCCAGCAGCAGAACAACATGGCGAGCTTCTTCAGCGACCCCTTCATGGAGCCGCAGGGTCCCGGCTGCCAGTCCCAGTCCAAGGCACTGTCTTATCAGGTTGGTGGCCTTTGCCCTGCCCTCTCGCCGCTGCGCTCCGGGACGGACCCTAAACCCGGCCCTTGTCCTCCACAGCTCGAGCAGTTTGGCATGCTTGACTGTGGGATGGGCTCTGTGGGAGGAGCCTCCTGCCTGGACCCCGGCTCCAGCCTCTACTACTCCCAGGCAGCCCTGATGGGTTTGGACGGCGGCCAGAGCAACATGCAGGACTCGCTGCAGACCAGGCAGAACATGCTTTACTCCAACTGCGGCGGAGGCGTGCCCAACATCATCCTGACAGGTATGGGGGCGGGGCCTAGCCCTGTTTGATGGACAGAGAGGCATCCTTTAAAGGGACCTTATTATGCTTATTTTATATTGTAAATCTCTATTCAGTCTCTTTAACGCTCTGCTAGAGCTTTAAACCCCACCCCTGATGTTGTGCTCTGATTGGTCATTTTGCCCTACATGTTCCGCCCTAGTTTTACAGTCAGTAGACAGATCCTTGCAGGTATGTGGCCAATAAGGATCGTGTCACAAGGTAACCCCACCACAGGCGCTTTCACACCATCCGGGACGTTTTTCAGGGACAGGTTCACAACCTTAGTAACTAGGCCTGATTGTAGTTCCTCACAGGCAGTTCCAGAATCCTTTTTTAGTACCTGCTTCAGACTAGGTACTTATCCTTCGAACACGAACTAGCGTGGAGGTGCTTACAGTGCTAAACTTTGCTGACTGGTTGACCACAAGAACCGGCGCTAGCTTGTAAGTTACGCGGAAGTACAGAAAAAGATAGACAGACTAAAAATTGAGCAGATGGAATTATTTTTCTACCCCAATTACATATTATGTATGAATTGATACATTTTTGTTTGTGTCTCCATATTTCTGAATCAGAAAAGTAGATCACTAACCAATACACTTTTGTTTAATATCGCCCATGCCGGCAATGAAACTCGCCCACGCTTATTAGTGGGATAACATTACATCATTTTTTGTCTGGTGGAAAATGAAAGATCAATCTGCTGGCCAGATTTAATAAGGATGTTGAACATGTTGCGGGTCACGGCTCTGTGTGCCATTTTAATCACTTATTTAACGTTCCTGTTGTGTGGCCAAGAGCTACAAAAGTTCCTGGTAGAGACCTGGGTCCAGGAACTTGTAAACCGGGACCAGGTTCTGGAAATTTAGGGTGGATGTGCATGATGTCATGGAAGTAAGGGCTGGAATACCAAGGTGTTTCAGGCAGATCAGAGGAGAGTGGTTTGTGTAGTGAGAATCGCTCCCTTTGCCTTGTACTTTGGGCCTTAAGACTTTGCCGACTGTTTACATGCACATAAAGCTATATAACTCACCAAAGGAAAGGGGGAAAACGAAAAAGCATAATAGGGCCTCTTTAAGATGATTAAGAGTAACTTTGGAAGTAGTGGGAGACCAGCTTCAAAACCCTTTGGTGACTGGGATTATTATGGGCTGCCATCCACCGTCCATCTTAGCCCACTTTCCCCTTGGCTGTGTCCCCTCCGTCCCCCTGCAGACGACTCGAACCCGAGCCAATCCAAGGACATCAGCAGGGCTCTGTCAGCCGTGCCGGAGTGCTTCGACTCGGAGGGCGGCTTCCCGCTGGAGGATGAGCTGCGGATCGAGCCGCTCAGCCTGGATGGGCTCAGCATGCTGAGCGACCCAGACATGGTCCTGCCCGACCCATCTGTGGAAGACAGCTTCCGCAGCGACCGGCTCTGAGTTCACGCGCGCCCTTGTGTGTGATGACCTGGCTGCTTTGTGAATGAATCTCTGTCTGATCCGCTCAGTGTGCGGATTAGTGCATCAACACACTCTGTACACAGCAGCTTAACCGGGCCAAGCTCTCGGTTCTGGCGATTCGATTCCCAACTTTATTTCATTTGGACGGAGCCGTTCAGTGTCCCTGGCGAGGTAAACGCATGCAGGCGGAGGGCTAGTCCCTTGGGGCTTCCCCGGTTCTGCTCGATGACGGGACACAGCGTCTCGGTACTTCTCATACTTCTAAAATAACGGCCGCATCGCGTGCTGAGACCTCTGCTGCACCCAAACCGTCCTCTTGCATAACCTCTCCTGCCCCCTGCTGGCTGAACGTGTGTAGAAGATGTCACGTGGATTGACACGTCACTAGATCCTTTCTGATGAGCAGCCACGTGTCCTGGTGGTCCACAAGTCCAAACCTCGGAGGCAGCAGCAGGGTTTAGGAGAATGTGGCAGGACAGGAATCGAGCTTGGAGGTCGTAACTAGGCCTGCGTACTAAGATCTGCAAAAGAGATTACAGCCACCAGCCATCTTTTCCCAGCTAAAAGAATTTCTAATTTCACAACAAGATGAGGCAAAAAAAAAAGTCATTTGCAAGTGAAAAAGGCTATTTCTGTACAGAGCGTTATTTTTGCATATATATTTTGTTAAAATGTTTGCCTGTGACACCTTTACAGTCTATTTCGAATGTATTTTTACAACCGGCAAAAAGGGCAAAAGCTGTTTACAACTGAAAAATGAAAAAACAAGATACTAGTGTTTCCTTGGAGTTTCTAGGGCAGTTTTGATATAACAATTTAAAGGAACTTCTTTTAAATGTGTCGTCTGCTTGTCTTGTCTGAGTAGGTGTGACTCCGATTCCACACCCCCCAGACTCGCCGTGCCGGGAGGGTACAAACCTGGCTATGCATGAGAGGGGCACTGCACTGGGGCAGGAAGGACTTGTACCCCAAACTAAGTGATTTTACTCCCTATGCTATTAGTATATACCTATCTATATACCATATATATTTCTCATTTTTACACAGCCGTGGTATCACTGCTTACACCCCGTCACACACTGCAGTATCGCGCCTCTCTCTCCTCCTGGGAGATGCAGAGACTTGCTGTCTGCCTGCCTGTTTTTAATGTAATGTGAAAGTCCCGATTTTCAGCAAAAAAAAAATGTTTTTCAATAAAACCATAGTTTTATTCCCCATACAGTGGGAGCCACTTTTTGTGACTTAGGGCTTAACTTCAATTAAAAGCCAAATAAATTGAGTTTAAGGCTTCCTATTAAGACGATTATATTTGAAACCTTTTTAAATAGTGCTACTGAGCTCATTATGTAGCTCTTCAGCGCCTCCTGGTGTCCACTGTCTGTTAGGTCAATTCTGTCACTACATTGATATTGTGGCAGAATCTGAGCCCGTTTTACACTGAAGGAATAAAAAGTAAAAATCACAAACAGAACTGAGCAGATCAGGCTGTGAAATTGCAGACCGGTGCTGCAGTCTAGCTGTGAATGTGACAGCAGATGTTAACAGACAGGCTGCTGACTCTCTTTGGGAGGTTTATTTTAATTTTCTTGTCATTTTATTGTGTTTTACTGACGATGCTGTAAGTGGTCAGTCAGCTTCTGCTTGCTGAGCTGAAGTCCCAGTTTTTCTCTCTCCGCTTCCCCAAACTTAAAGATGTTTTTGAGGTCAGGTGTTCTGTTGTGGAATTTGCCCCTAAATGCCACCCCTATTCTGATTTGATATTGTTAAACCTTTACAATAATAATTCTCTCCTGCCCTATATTTGCCCCCCTAACAGGCAGAGATCCTGCTCTGTCGCCCACCTCTTCTCTTGCCTTACTCTGCTGAACTTTGACCCCCCAGTACCCACTCTGCTCGCAGTGTGACCTGTCAGTTGCTTGTCTTGGTCTATCTCTGGATCCTCACGATTGCTACGGCGGTCTTTCATTGCTGGTAGTACTCTTACTGTCATCCCTTTGGTTCTAGAAGGAATTTCCTGTCCCTTGTTTTGTACGGTGTCTTGTGTTTCTAGTTTTCTTTTAAAACAATGTACAGTTCTATTATTTAAATAATGTTTCTTGTCCACTAGTGTTACTTTTTTGTAATGTCATTTAAATCTTTCTTTTTCAGATATTAAAGTTTTAATACACAAAGCATTTGGATTGTGATATGTTATAGTGCTTAACTTTGATTTAATATAAACAATAAAAATATATACGCAGAACTTTAAATGTGTCTTTTCCCATCTCTGATTTAGCTGTCGTTGTAGTTTCCGGTTTGGACAGCAGAGGGAGCCTCTCACCCCTAATACGACGCCCGAAGAGGCGAGACACACGACATCCCGTCACATTATTTGAAACGTCAGCCTTTCATTTTCACAGTATAACTGCCAGAGGCGACATCAGCCTTTATTAATAAGTGCTGAAGGATGCACTTTAAAATTTATAGAAGGGATTATAATTGTCACCAAAACTATTTCACTATGATTTACATATTTGAAGCCATTAGGTTTGTATTGCAGTTTCTCTAACTACCTCCATTAACAGAAGAACATTTGTAAGTGAAGCTTGACAATAAAGACACTAAAATCTCCAGTTAATTGTTATTAGCAGAGGTTTCCTTTTATACTATTAATATTCTCTGATTTTTATGGCCATTAGAAATGACCGTAAACCGTTTCTGCGATGGAAACACCAACATGTGTCAAGTGACAATGAATCTGCGGGCGGTCAGTCCTGCTCTAGGACGGCAACGCTAGCTGACCCGAAGTGGCGGAGCCGGGAGCAAGCCGAGGCGGAGGGTTTATTTCTCTTATTACCCACAGACTGCTAGAAGATGGAGTTCTATTGCAATTCCTCTTTGTACTGTTTGTCGAAGCAGATCCAAATGTGTTAGTGCTGCGTTTAAAGGGCGCCGCTTCGCCTGCGCACCCGCACTCTTTAATTTAACGGTGAAGAGCAGCAGTTTGATCCGGACCGACTTCCTCCGCCTGTTCTGCTCATGATTTCTTTGTACTTAATAGGCTGTGGATACCGTTCTGTATGAGTCCCCTCACTAAATCTTAGCAGTTTTTTTTTTTTTTTTTTAATAAGGCCTTGGTATGTTTCTGTCGACAGTGGGCCTGCATGAAAATACATGTTTTTCCAAAAACACATTTCCTCCTGCGGTTTCTGTTTTTACCACATCACTCGTTTCATGGTATTTAGTGCTTTTATGGTCATGATTGCTAATGGCTTCCCTGGTCAACTTTAAAACGTGTTTTTGGGTGAACGTGTATTCATGGCCTTAGGAGCGGCCGGGCTACGGAGGCAGGAGGCCACTAATCACGGTTTATTGCTCTATGGATGGGGGACATGGCTGTGGAAAGAATCACAGGAGCATCTGTCCTCTGAAGCCTGAATTGTGGCTGCTGTGTTTTGGAGGGAAGACTGAGGAGCGGCAGGTTCATCATGGCGGATCATGTGGGAGCCTCTGCGGCCTCTAGGAATGGATCTCGACCACATTCGAGTGACTGGGATTCCATGCCACTCGTTCGCTCCTTTCTTTGTGCAGATATTTGTCTGATAACCACAAGCCTGTTATTCTGTTTGGCTCATGCTATAAAAATGAGCCGGATGGCAGAACATAAGGTGTGAGACTCTGGACCGGCTGATCTGTGCCAGGCCAAGCCCTCAGAAAGGGGTGACCGCACCGTCCCACACAGCGCTAACGTGGCTAATTTTACCTTTTGGTCTTTCGTTCCAGTTACTCAGCCCTCTTGGTTTGAACGACGGGGCTTTTCTTTTGTCTATGATTCACATTCCCTTTGTTGGCCGGGTCAGTGTGTTCATCCACCTACCACTTTTACGATAAGGGATCAAGGGTACTGCTTATATTATTTTTGTCGTTGACTCGGACACGGAGCTGCAGATTATTCATTTCCAGGAACACATTCATCTGAGGCAGTGTGTGCCAAAGGCCGTCCATTGGAATCGACGTATGGAATGCAATCGTAATTTTCAAGCAAGACACATAAATGTTTGGTTTTGGTTGATTGCCGCAAAAAAAAAAAAGAAGTTAAAATAATGATTCTTTGTATGGCAGGACAGGAGACATTGCTGGAGGATGTTTTGTAGAATGAAAATGGAAGATAAAACCTCAGTCTTTGGAGAAGGTAAGAAAGGATTTGCTTCTGAAGTCCTGTCCAATTCCCTCTTAATGCCGTTTGATTTTGGCCTCCTGTCTCCCAGTTTAGTCCCCAATATCTGGCACTCTGCCGGAACTTCCTGGAAAAACCCGAAACCCGGCGTTGACAAGGCAACCGCACAAGCTTCTGTGCCACAAGCACCCAGGCACAATGCCCCCCCCCCCCTTTCATGGATCACACATCATCACAGTATGCTGGAGCATCATCGCTTCTGATTCAATCAAAATAGGTTCTAATTTCTGCCCGTTGCAGGATCTGCACACCTACAAATAATCCTCTCGGACTGGACAGGCAGCCAGTTGCTTGGTCTTGTCGGCCCCCAGAACCTGAACTGGCACCATTTTCACTTGTGTGATATCCAGTGCTGTGGAGATTCCTCCCACGTCTCCATGACATTCTTTTCATTCTTTTGCCGACGCCAGTTGTGGGCACGTTTCCCCCACCAGGTGTTGTGCAGCTGGAATCGAGCATCGCCTCTCTTCCAGCATTAAAATGAGGGCTGAGGGGTTTCCACAAGGTGTAATTATCACAGCATCACCAAGTGCATCTGTCGCATCAAATAAGGCGATTGCCACCCAAGTGGCGCCTGTTTAATACCAGGACATTGAGCTTGTGGGAGTTTTAGTTACACAAAAATGTTCTGAGGGCAGAACAAAAAATGATTGGTTCGGAGAGCTAACCTAGAGCAGGCAGGACCAAGATATCTGATTGGTTGGTCCCATCTCCTCCAATTGGACCCACCTTCTGTACAATCTGATTGGTTGTCTCTCTGAACCAGTCTTTTTTTTTTTTTTTTTTTTTTTT